CGCAAACCCTCACCCTAGCACAAGTATTTCAGATCAAATATTGTCATATTTAGTGAGATAGTGGGAGTTATGCCATGAATGCAATTCTTCTCATTCACTGCCCAGATAACGTTTCCGATTAAGTCATCTTTATTGAAAACGTGAAGTTGATTTAGAGTCAATGATTTTTTGCGGTCTGATAACAAAAAATGGTTGAATATTGTTTGACAATCTTTGCGTTCGTCTGCCAAAATGTCTGCATCTTTATTTGAAGAAATAATGAGCTTATTATCTATGCTAAATGTATCAATATTAAAAATCTGCCTCAGGATTGTTAGCAGACACGAATTCTTAACTGGTATTTGTAACGTGTTCATTTCTTCAGGAAAATAATAATTGATATCAGTTCAGTATTTCAAGATGACTTGTGTCACATTTGTACATGAAATAAACTTGATTAAGTGAATCACTTATGTCAATAAATTTGATGTTCGTTATCAGATAAAAGTGCCTTCGACACGATAAGTGGCAAGTATTTGCGTATAACCATGGCAACAGTGAAATATTTATAGATCGTGATACAAAATGCTCTATTATGAAAGCAAATATAGACGGGATTTTAAAGAAATAATATCTTGAAAGGAAACAAAGGAGATGATGTGATTTGGACATTTTATAAACAGGTTGCATTATTAATTGACAGTTGCTTGTTTAGCACACCGGAAACTGAGGTTAGCAATATAACACGTATATATCGAAACAACACTTTTTGCATGAAAAAATGACAATATCTAACCTCAAATCATTACTAACTGAGAAACGTCCTTCCATGTTCAAGGTCACCCAATGAACTTCATAATACCCTTGTCATCCACAGTAAACACAGTGATTGCAAAGTCTTTCGAAAAATCAAAATAATTTGAGACTCAATTTCCTTGTCCAATCGCTTTTGAAATGTGCTATATAATAGGGTCCATAAAAATACACGTCTAGTGGTATAGGGAGGGGGAGGGGGTATTACAAAGGTACAAATATTATGGCAGTGAGGAATAATATAGGGAGGTGAAACCCCTTTGCACCCTTAAACGGAGCCAGACTGCGGGTATATGCGGCGATGCATGTATCGTGGGGAGCCCTTCGATACGCTCCCTCTCCTTGCACACTGCCAGTAAAGACATGACATTTTGCGCTTCTTCCTGTAGAGACGCAATGAGCAAGTAGAGATAAAGACTCACTCAAGGGGCAAGGGGACTTGTGACATGGCGGACGATTTAAGACGGCACTTCTTCGTGAAGAAGATCGAACAAGAAAACAGCCATTCTTGGGATATATGTGAGGAATAGAGGGCAATCCATCTTTGTGAGACTATGCTATAGATGTGTTCAGAATTATTGCCACACACAAGCAGTTATTTAGCAGTGATGGGGGTGTCCTCTTCCCCCTTTTTCAGAGGGGAGGGGGCAGATGATATGCACCCGTTATAAGACACAGCTCCAGACCCAGCACTACACGGTCAATTTTCTACACTTAATGTATTGTTAACTTAACCATGGACCCGAATGCATGTCCCGAAAGCTAAGCTAAAACCCAATGGCATTTTAAACCCAATCCTTTATATATAATACAACCTAGCGCAATAATTTCTTCGCAGTGAATGTTAAACTACCGATGTGCTTGCCCCCCTCCCCCTCTGCCTGTTTCCCCCTTCTTTTACCCCCTAATATCCACCAGTGGAAGGGAGGGAGGAAGTGCGTTCATGTGGGAGGCGGAGGAGTCACAGAGTTTCAGTCCAAGCTCGGGGAGAAAGAGCTGTCTCTACAAGTTTGCGAGGTATTTCCGAGAGAGTGATGAAAAGCACATGATCACGGCGGCTCCCGGCTATTTGGACGCGAGTCTACAAGCTAAGCAGGAACATCCCATTCTGTTATAAATACACCTCCCCAAACCCAAACCATTTCTGCACCCCTCCGAATCCTCAACGTAAACCTGTCACAGTCATGTTGCCGGGCAGGTGGTACTTGTTTCAAGTTCACTCTTACCATACTTGCCCCTACATCTTTTTCCATACAAATTATTTTAGAAAACTTCATTTCAGCTACGCGGTATTCAGATACCATTACAGAGAGATAGATGAATATAATGGTTGTAACAATAGGAACGGCTATAACTTTTAAAGGGACAACTCTACATCTTACTCCAATGGATATCGATGACTGTATTGATCAGTATTTTTGTTGGGTGCACGACATCAGTTCAGATTCTACTCGTTAAAAGAAGCCTTTCATCATTAATCGATGATCATTGCTCTATAATCCGATAATTATCGTTGTACGGTGATAACTAGTCGACCAGACCTGACTATACAACCCAAACAGTAGCAGATCCATAATAAATATACCCTTTTCTATATCACACACGTTTCTGGTCCTACACCACCAGACGCTGAAAGAAGAAAGGACTGGAGGCTAGGGCAATATGCACCATTGAAAAATATATAAATAATATTTTGATATGTGAATTGCAAAAGTTACCCTAAAAATAAAATTTTAAAGGCTTTTTTGGTGGATGGTGTAAGGGTAAGGGGGTGTTAAGTGGCACATTTAAGCGTTAAACTTTAATATTCATATATCAGTTGATAATGTGTAAGCAATATTTTCCCAGTAGGAAAAATAATCCTTTATAATTAAAATATGAAATGAGGAACAGGATGCATGTTTAAACATATTTGTGGCTCACACCCATAATAGAATTTTTTCCCAGGAAGCATTACATTAATAAAAGAATGCATGTTGTATTACGGTTAGGGAAATGACAGTGTTCAAGGGTCGGCATGTTACTGTTACCTTGTTTAACATTTACTAACCGGTTTCTAAGTGGAAAATAAACAGGATTACTCACGACGTAATAAACTCGAGTGTTAAGTTCAGGATCTGTTGTGTGTTGATGAGTGCCGGTGTAAATCACAATTTATTGAGCTGTTTGTTAATGGAGGAGGGCGGGTTGGGGGCTCACTTGGTTACCTCTCCGTAACCCCCCTCCGATGAACCGTCCCTTAACCAATTCATCGAGGACAATAACTGTATTTAGCGCCCCTCCGAGCTGCAAAAACCCCATTGTGAACAAACACTTGTAATGATTTTCCGCGACAGAGATCGCAGTAAAGAGCTGCATACGACGTGTAGGGACGATGTTGAAGGGGTGGAGAAAAAGAAGAGCTGGGGTATGGGAGGGGTGTAGAAAAGAGGGGGGGGGGCTTAAGTGCCCCTGTTTTGATCCCGTCGTGAGATGATAAAACATCTCAAGTGGATGATGAGAGCGGTTATTCAATGCGGATCAAATTGTGCAAGACACAAATGCGCTAATTGGAATCGGCCCTGTCGAAGTGCGGGAGCAGCTCTTGACTTGACGTATTTTCAATGAGTGATGAGCTAATTTCATTCTGTCACTGTTACGCTCGTGGTTGAATAGCTCTCTTATGTTGCTGAGTGATATGCAGTCGACGCATGAGTACCCCTCTCGTACCCACCCCATTTATTTCATGGGCGGTGCTATGAATATGTATTTTTTTTCCCTCTCTCTCTCTGTCTCTCTGTCTCTCTCTCAATTTTTTCTCTTTCTCTCTCACCGAGCTAGCAAAGCTACGTACCGTAACACAGCAGTCTCATTTTAATGTCTATGGTTCTCCAATCACTTCCACCCAATCATTCGGCGTAGTCTAAAGCGGGCACATGTTGGAAGGAGAGTGAGAGAAAGAGAGGGAGAGAGGGAGAGACCCGAACCACATGCGTTCATTCGATCACCGCACTGCGATGCGAGACGGTAAGAAGTGAGCTCCCGAACGCCACTCCGCTTGTAACTATCACTCGTCATCGCAACGGCATGCGCTGCATTTACTATCATCCTCGCCAGCATGTATCCATTCGTGTCAGTTGACTGGGAGGATCACATGCCTTGTTAAGAGAACAACCAGTGGATAATATAAATCAGAATGCTTGGTGCACACCTGACCGGCGTGAAAATTTAGCTCTTAATTTCATTTGCTTCGGACATCTATCTCTTCCTGTCGACTGGCCGGCCGTCGCGACGCTTGGCGGATTTCCACCAGCCCGCCCTTGGATAGTAACCGGACGATATCCCCCTCGCTCTCGACCGTGACCAAGTGGAAGAGATCTACATCCGCGTGGGAGGAAGACACATTTATCGACGACCACCGATCCTATATATCTATATTCACCTCTTATCAATGATTTATATTCCGGCAGGACACTTGAGAATTTGGATGATATGACATTCGCAAGCGGCGGCTCGTGTACAAATATTTGGGCTCTTCTAGCCGCAGTTTGTCCATGCTTGCTCAGACGGGATTCAACCTTGTGGTACGATTGGTCGCTGTCGCCCTTCATCACAAGGCATCGGGTGCTAGGAATACTACTTCTACTTCTACTTCTGCTCTTATGCTATCGCGTAAACAACGTGCTGCATTTCAAACTCACATCAGTCACTTTAAATCTGCGCTGTATGCGCTTGAGGGTGTAGCAATGCAAGTACGGCAGTCCACGACAACCATGTAAGCTCGCTCACGAACTTGAACCCCTTTTTTCTATATACGTTACCCTTCCTCGCTGTTCATGATATTCTCCATATCTTTTACTGAATTATTCTTGATTCAGCTCGGTGGCATCAATATCATACGGTTCATCAATCCATTTTCTGTAAACCCACCCCCTCCGACAAATCTCTACTCCATATACACCTTGTCTTCTCTGCCCCCCTCCCTATCCGTTCGTGTACCCCTCACCGGCTCTTACGGAGGTGTTCACGTCCTTAAAAGACCGTTCTCCTCACCTTGTTATCATCGGTTTAAATCAAAGCGGGTTTCCGCACGTGGCAGAGAGGAATGAGACCTCTCTATTACAATATACACGGACTCCCCCGGGAGCTTCGGGTATGACATACTCATCGCCGTATTCCGATTCCCCGATGCTAATCCTGTCCTATTTTCTGTCTTCTCTGCTTTCCAGATTGTTACATTTCCTGCTCTGGTGTCTCAGCGTACAGGTAACCGTAAGTATACACAAACGTGCTCTTAACAATCTTTTCAGTTATAGTTCTCGTATATACGTGCCAATACCTTGATTAGCTTTATATGTCAATGGAGGCCCACCTTATACACTTTCATGAGGCTACACTTTATAGTCAATCAGACAATATTATTTTGGTTATGTCTCGTTCGAACACCTTGCGAATCTGTATCTCTGTATTGTTCAAGTAAAATACTACGCAGGTATAACCCTAAGGCCAATTCGTAGAACTATGTTTGCTTTTGTTTTAAAGACTAATATTTATTGACATAATTGAAATAGATAATTTCGCTTATTTCACGTGTACAAAACATATATTATAAATGTAGTTATATTTATTTCATTATTCGGGGAAAACTCGTCTGCTCTGTATTTAAAGGTGACGAATTCTTCTCATGAAAACTGTTCGGCAATAAACTGTGATAACTCGTAAAAATGTATAATACTGGTGGCAATTATAGGAAATGTTGCCAATTTTATTTCAACGGTGCCCCTCATAATCGTACAAAATGGCCTGTTTAGGTCCATGTGATACATATGGATGTATGATACAATTAATGATGTATTGGGGGCACATCTCTCTATAATATTACGTACTTTTTACACCGTTCGACCAATCTGAGTAAAGTGCACCAGGAATACCTTCTCCATACCGACGACGTTTTGAAGACAGTGAGTTTGGAGGTGAAGTTTAGCTGGAACCATCGCTGGAGGCCGTGGGGCTATTAACCTGCTTGTTACCCCCATCATCATCAGCTGTGATGTGATTCGCAGTATTATGACATGCTCTCCTGGGAGGACACGGAAACCCAGACCTCTCATACATTTATGGATACCTCAAATCTCATGCACTTTAGTCTCAGTTCAACACTTGGATGATTATTGATATATAACTATATATGAGACAATGCCGTCGATAACTCTTCGTGGAAATGTGCTTGAACTTGAAGTGAAGTTTCTACGATTTGGTCCATATTATGCGGCGGCAACATTGTTACCTGATTTGTGTTAGCATAGGAAAACAGGATATATAAATGCAAACAGCTTGTCGATATATTTAGCAAGTGGAATATGGAACCATCTGGAAACAAGGCTAGGAAGTGAACGGATCCTGTCTGCACCAATCCACCACGTTGCTTTAACCCGACGGTGATGGGGTGATGCCTCGTGGTGCTCCGCCGACGCCAAGGGCAAAAGATAGATGTCATCTGAGCTGGAAGCGCTTGGGGAGTCCGGTGGATTGGGGACGATTACCAATTCAGTGTGTGGCGAATCCTCCCTCCCTCAGGGACTGGTCCTAGAAGAAGACTCCATTCGCGTGGACTTCATGAGTGAGAACGTGGCTGGCACACGTAGTCGAAAGTTCCTATGATAACTACAGAATCAGGAACATAGTGATGTCGAAAGTTCCTATGAAAGCTACAAAATCAGGAACATAGCGATGGCGAAAGTTCCTATGAAAGCTACATAATCAGGAACATAGCGATGTCGAAAGTTCCTATGAAAGCTACAGAAACAGGAACATAGCGATGTAAAAATTATTATGATGACGTCACATTTGTCCCATGCCCAATTGGTTTTGTGTCATTTACATTGTAACAAGCTTGACAATCGTATGGACTAATTCAAAATCAGAGATTTATTTATTTGAATTGTGCAAATGCTGGGACTGTGGTATGTGATGTTTATATTTTCTATGAGGCAACTGCTAAACTAGAAAATAGAATGAGTTCATCAAGATGGTTTTGTTATATGCCTTGTAGTAGGCCATACGTGCAAGAAATCGGCTCACTTAATTTTGATACATTAAATGGACCACGTAAAACATGTACGTCCGTTAAAATGTTTTGAATTGCGACATGTACACTGTAATTATCTTTTTGGTAACTATTATTATCTCTTTTGGTATTCTGTTACAAGTATGAGCGATTTAAAACGTACCAAAATGTCGTCAAAAAGAATCGTCACCTACTTGCTGGGTACGATACTTTTATGATAAATGTGGTGATTATTCATTCAGCAAACATCTGGTGCCATATAAAGCATATCAAACATGGAACCACTTTTCAGCAGATAAAACCTATAATCATGATTTAATTCGCCTCATCATAACATGGGAGGTCTCATTTAGCCAGTGAATGCAATGGTAGAAGTGTGAACATACAGAGGGGCATTCGGAGAAGCGTGCTTTTATCGTATGTAATGACTGGAATGAACCATGACGAATTGAACAACAAACATATTCATGCATTCACGCTGTGCCATAATAAGAGGACAAAACGATTATGTCAAGAGAAACCGGGTATTGTCGAGTTTGTAAGGGGATATGTGGAAGGCTACATGATTCTAAGGTACTCAATTATAATTTCACACAGAGCTGGAACATATTCATGAAGAATTTGCCATTGTAACAGTTTTACATTCAGGATTCCTACCAACCATAACGGATTGTATATTTAACGCGGAATGTCTCTTTAAGTACCACCTACCTGCACACTAAGCAAGCAAATGAACGCCGGTACAGAAAGTACAATCTAAATCAGAACCAGAGAAACATTTGCGCCTGCTATAAATTACTCCACTTTTCCTCTTAATCCAACCGCCTCTTGGCAAGCAAAGGAAGTGTTTGCTTCTCCTCTCTTCAGAGTGAATATGTTTGTCCATGTAGTTGGTAGCCTGATTAAGGTGGCTAAGAGCACTGAAAACCTGTTTTCATTTGCCCTTAGCGGTGCATCTCTCATGCAGAGTAAATACTCTGCTGTAAGATTATTCAACGCTTGCATTAATAGTCATGTAGCATATACTGGCCAGCTGGCTCAGGAATACGGTTGTTCCTGCTTGTGAAGGCGAACTCTCTGTATTTAACAGACAAATCTTTACATGTGAAGAAAACAAAAAAAGAGGAACAAGAACTCATGTGCTTCCCGACCATCCAGCCAGAATTTGCCTCCAGAGCAGGTTGCCCTGGCAACGCCATTTTCCGAGACGTTCACATTCTACGTCAGTTGAAACAATGAACGAGGAGGGGACCTCGATGCCGATTAAAACTGTCTGGCTTCATTCTTGAAAAATCAGACATGACAAATGTCTTACCTTGGGGGAAAGGTACAAGAAATATGTTGAATTCTTCTTGATTTTTATCAGAGGCATTATTTTAAAGAAACGGGATGACATCATATGACATGGTCTGCAACAGAAAATATCCCCTTAATTGGGATTGGGAAGGGATAGGACTGTATGAATAAATTGTATATATAACCTGACTAACAAGTCCTCGTTTGTTCTCGTTTGTTACGTTGATAATACTGTCAGCTGACTTCAAAAGAAAAAATAATTCTCCTTCATATACTTGAAATAACCTCACACTAATAAACCTCCACGGTGCTTAAATTTAAGTATCCAATGAATTTTTGATGTGTAACTTGTGTGCTTTTGTGCATCAATTTTGCTAGATTGCCAGGAATCTCCGTCTCCTAAGAGGTGGTTATGCATAAACAGGTGCAATTAAACGCAGCTTCACTTTCAACCAATCATTATCACGTATTCTTAGACACCTTACAACCCGGTCATATCAACGAGACTGCCACCAGACCAAGAATAGAACACATTATTTATTTACAAAAACATGATTCTAAAAATGCATTACTCTGAAAGGCCTAGGATCTGTCGCTCTAGGATTAGAATGGCGATGTGACTGAGATGCTATCCACATCAACCTTTTTAAATACCATGTTCTTGATTGTTTTTGTTTTTCAATCTTGTAGAAATCGAGGCCAGTAGCCATGCCTTTAAACAACTTCGACCCCACCACAGACACCTCCAACTTCAATTCTGGAAGCACAAGAAGACTTCTAACTTTATACAACAGAGCCAGCTCCCGTTACGTCAGAATACATGGTCGAAGGGTAGACGCCAAAGGTTCGCAAGACGACCCACATGGTAAGTTTGCAGCTTCATTTTTAATTATCATGTACCTTTTGCCATGACAACATTGCTGAACGCAGTTGAGGAGGCGCAATGGCTCAGTAGTAAAGCTGTGGTCTCATAACCAGGAAGTCACGGGTTCGAAACCCACAAGTCGATGTACAAGTACACTTTGTCCAGTTGACATAATGCCAATCGAAAGATCATCAAAATGGGGGAACATATTGTATAGGTGTGTTTGCGATGTTTTCAGGATAAACAGCTCTACAGGAAGATGACGGGAAAGCAGGGTTAATGAAATGCATGTGCATTTGTTTCAAAATACAGCCCTGGGAAGAAAAATTAGACCACGCTCCTATTATAATGATTATAGGGTAATTAAATTACGCATATAAACTAACACAAAGTATTTTCTTTATGTTTCCTTGAATGATGAACATTTTACAACCATTATGCCTTCCTATTTGGGCATTTTATCTTTTTCTTACCGCGGATATAATGTTAACAGTAACCTTGCTTGGTCTAATATTTTATCTTCACATGGCTGTATGGAAGGAGAATGCGTGATATCAAAATTAAAAAAATGAAAGAAGAAATTATGATGCTCATGGGTGTCAGTGTTGCAATATAACAGTAGGGTTCATAAGATGATAATCCTTGTTTAATCTCATTCAACTTAAGTGGATCTTATTGAGCTAATCCATAATCACCCATGGATATAAAACTACACGTAGGCCTATGTTTCACGCGAAGAACACAAACGTCCCAGGCACGGTGACGCCATAGCGTTGCATGTACAGCCAGTGTAACGTGCTAGTTTTCCAGGGTCGAAACTGTACCAGGCAATGTGATTCATCTTTCACTGCCGGGTACTTAAACATTGAGATAAGAGGGTTGCTGTGAACTTGAGACGATCGTCACCGTTCTCCCTGCTGAAGGACTCATCCAATTGATTAATTATCCCAAATAAATACATGTATGTATAATTATAACAAGTAACACGTTTGCGTGTAATGGTAGTAGTAGTATTGTCACGATGGAAACATTGAAAACATCTCTTTAAAGCGCTTTCACAATGACAAGGAACTGATAAAACTGCTTTTTTTAAATTTATAATCACTCCAGTTCGTCGATTCAATTATGATGAAAACCAATAGGGGTTCGCATCCTATACCTTGTATCCATTTGCACACCTTGGTAGAGAAAGGCAATGTTGTTAAAATCCCGAATTTATGCTTGTGGACAGTGATTGGTGATGAGCCGTCGTTTGAACCACTGACCGTTAACTACTCTAACCACTTGACCATGACACCTCACCATGGTCTTATATAGACCCAACACGATTTGAAAGGCTTTCGATTAAACAACCTAAGCCAATTTCAAAGATGACATGTCATATCTTGCTCATATATGCGGATGACATCTCTTCCTCTAGTGCGTGGATGCCATACAGTCTTGGTAGCGAGTTGGCAAGCAATTGACCTTCAGCGTGACTCAGGATTGTCTCAGCAGTCTGACCACACTCTCGAAGACAATCCAGCTATACGGCCTGGGGTGGTATGTGTCACAAGACCTTTCCCCATCTCTGAGGACCCCCTTCTAAAGGATGCTGGCTCACGTAGTATACAGCGTCTCCAGAAGTGGATAGGGTTCGGACCCTTGAAGATACGAGTGTCGTCATCCTTCATCGGTATTTTAATAGGCCTATTGATGTGTCTCCTTGGGTCTACTATGTCGGTATTGGTCATCGTGACGTGATGAAAATTGTTTAAAAATCAGTTGCATTTTCAGAGAGAATAGAAAGTCTTAATATAGTCTGATAGTAGACATGAGGAGCACATTAACATTTTAAGGTAGAAGCGGTAAACAAGGAATTTGAAGTGCCTAAACCATTTCGCAGCGTAGGCACGATAAGGGTTTTAAATAGAAACGTGATATCCCTACTGAAATAGGGAGAGTGGCATTCTGTAGAACGGATGAAGGAAAGGGAAAATGGAGGAAACATTGAAAATCTGCAGCCAAATTCTCCCGAAAGTCCTATCTAGAATCTATATAAAAGAATTGTAATACATGTATAGGATTAGATGCATTGACATGAAGAAAAATGAGCATTCCCATTTTTATTTGTTAGCACCATCCAAATAATCTTTTCCCAATTCTACTGAAATGACAGTTACTTCATCTTCAAGACGAAGTGTCCTTGGAATTCTGCGGTACAGGTCAAAGGTCATCCCGTGATTTATCATGAAATGCTGCCGAAATAAGATAAAGGTCGTTCCGAGGTGACGACATCGTCGTCGCGCGCCAAATTTCGTCAGCGGTATATAGGTTCGAGGTGAAGATGTCGTCGCCGATCTGTCAGCGAGTTCGCTCGCGCTAGCTGGAGGTCGATAATTTGTGGACGGTATTTTCTTTCATATTGCCCGGAGATCACGGGGCGGCCCAGCTCTGCCGTTCTGTCGTCAGTCTCAATTTTAAGTGGTGAAAGTAATTTATTTGGTATGAAAATCTGGACGCGAAACGCTCCAGAAAGCATAACAGATGGAGTGCCCTATAGAGTTTGGGATGTACAGGGGATCTTCCTGATGCCTGACAATTAAACAACACCCTCTCCTCGGTCGTTTTCTATCATTTAACGTGTATAACTCATCACATATTTTTCTGATTATCTAAACGGGTGGAGTTTTAAGCGCAGAAGTAGTATTAGGCTGTGAGAGCAATATAGTTTCGGAGCCCGTCTCTTAAAGATCTCTCGGTGGTTTTTCTAATTATAGTAAGGCGATAGGAATCTATAAGGAGACGAGAAGGGAAAGCCCTTGCAATTAGTGGAGTTTGTGGTGGCAGGTAGCATTATGTTAAAACAGGAAGATACTCATGGCGGAGATCCCCACCTGGGGAACATGAATGTGCCTTGCGCACCACTGAAGCAATGCTTTATGGGAGGGTGTTGACCTTCCAACTAGTTTCTGTATGAACTGATCTGCTTTTCACACCTCATACGCAAGGACCTGCATGATGAGGGGGTAACACTAAAGGGTGGTTAGTATTACCCCTAAAAGACAGGCAAAGTTTTCATTCGTCCAAAGGCATGGGTAGTGTTCCATGAAGATCAGAAACTCAAGCTAGGGTATATTCTTCTATGCCCACGCCCTTCCATATTTCACCAGAGGTCGACAACCATCCAGAACCTGTTGCAGAATTATCATCATAAATCGATGCCATGTAGTATCGTCAATGTCAGAAACACTATGTCTTCACTTTTTGTCCATCTTTCTTCTGACTTTGAAAACTCTACTCTATAAGTGTCGTCCCTCATAAGGAGTCTGCATATAAAACTGATAAAGGATGTTTATCAATCTCCCCCTCACCCTTGCCTTGGCTGGGCTGATAGACCCCCATATCTTTGGATACCCCCATCCTCTGTCTTACGGGGGTGGCTACGCACTTGTCCGCGGCTCCCCAAAATCGCGTGTGTAATGTATCGTCAGGGGAATCCCGCCTTAATGAAGACTTAATTAGTCTTCTTCCGTGTTTGTCGTTGCTCGAGCTCGGTTGAACTCTCTTAAACGACACTGGCACAATGTCGAAGTGCATTCGAAGTTTCTGTGATTTGGCCAAACATTTAGTAAAGTACCCTCGCACTCGTGAAGAGCCCACACGTCTCAAGATATCGAATGAATTAATAAGTAGAAATAGTTCTCAAACTTCCTTTCTTTCTCTCTCATTATCAAAAGTGAAGTTGCAAATTATTTTACAACCGATGATACTGCCCATTCAGTCAAAGACATACATACAACACAAATAAAGTCAACGATAGCAAGGTATAACCCGTTTCGGGTTATTCGTCTCTTTGTTTGCCTCATGTTTGCCTTATGTTTGCCTTACTAATTTATGTTGTCAGACACATTTTAACCTATTTCACCAGAAGGGTAAAGTTTAAAAACATATGAATTTGGAAAACATGGTCGATTAGATCATTTCATTATGATTTTTTTCCTATTAAGCTGTACATTTGATATGTCATACATCTCTAAATAACAAAGCTAAAACATAACTCACATATAGTCTAGTATGATCTTCATAATTCCACCAAGAAAGTAATTCAAGCCCAATTGCCTAATGTGCTATGATATGTAAAATGTGATTTAGTAGTAGTAATAGTAGTAGTACACTCTATTGGATAACTTGTTTAGCACAGGACTTATCTTTTACATTAAGATAACGGTTGGCACTTTTGAATTTTGAGGAATGTGTGGGGTATAGGCATTTCATGTTAATGTTAGTTCCTACATACCACGTCTGATATGATTTCAAAATACACACAAAGTGACTTCTACACTGATTATTGTGACGAATATCATGTCGTATTTACGGAAATCTAATCTCTGTTGTAGGCCTACTCGACCCCCTACTGCCAGATCCCTTGCAGTAGTTTTCCTTACTAATTTCTCGCATTTCTTCGTGCTTGTTTTCATATCATGTTTTGGCAACATTCACGGATAAGGCGACAGATAGTTGTTGCTTCGCGATCCATTGGTCTGGCTCTGAACCCTGCAGCCCCCCGCCAGGTCAGCTTGAACTATATAGCAACTTTCACGAGTTTGGAGCGATGGAATGCCCTTGGGAGACTCTAAAAAAAAGTTTACACAGTTGAGTTGATGTTCATTGCACAATCGCGTTCATGAATACATTAGGCTTTTTTTAGCATTTTTTGTTTACCAACACTGAAAAGTGAATTTGCTGTTACATTACTTTGATGCTGCTAGCTCTGTTTTGCCTAGGTTATAGCATAATAGCTGTTCGGAATTTGTGTATAATTTTGTATTATTAGCTTTCTTTAGCCGGGGTTCATAGCAACTCATCTAAGAGGTTGGTAGTTAGACATAAAATTAACAAGTAACAGAATTAGTGAAAGTAGAAATGTGGAAAAGACGATAGGTAATATCATATATATTCGTAATTTTGTTCGTCCTAATCGTACATTTACATTATGTATTGTATCTTGGGAATTTGGT